ATGTGCATTGAATCTGCATTTGGGTCTAAGCTTTCTATGCAGGGAAGAAATCATCACAGTGACATCTATTTAATTTTCAATTCAATTTTATTTAAAGAGCGCCAAATGACAGCAACAGTCACCTGAAGGCGCTTTATATTGTAAGATATACTTACAAAGAAAACCCCAACAATCATATGACCCCCTATGAGCAAGCACTTTGGCGACAGTGGGAAGGAAAAACTCCCTTTTAACAGGAAGAAACCTCCAGCAGAACCAGGCTCAGGGAGGGGCGGCCATCTGCTGCGACCGGTTGGGGAGGGGCAAGGAAAATAGTATAAAGACATGGAACAGAGACAGAGGTTAATAACAAGTACCATTCAGTGCAGAGAGGTCTATTAAACATAGTGGGTGAAGAAGAAACACCCAGTGCATCATGGGAATCCCCCGGCAGCCTAATGCTGGCATACACTGTGCGATTTTTGGCCCATTTTGAGCCGATTTTTCAGTCGTGCGATCGTTTTGGGGATCGTCCCGAGTTTGGCCTTGATCAAACTTCTCACCCCTGCGAGTCAATCCTACAGTTTGATCAGGAGCCGAATAACGCGACTGAAAAATCGCAGCACAGTGTATGCCCAGCTTATTGCAGCATAGAGGATTCAGGATCACCTGAGTAGGCCATCAGATTACTGAAAGGATACTGAAAAAACCCGTCGAAGTAGTCTTAGTCTTCATTGCTGCTGGTCGACTCAATTGAACACCTCTGAAGTTTGCACACAGGCAAGTATTCCTCTTCTTGCTCAAAATCCTCTCGGGAACGCTTCCTCGAGCCTCCAGTTTCGTGTTCAAGCTCTTCGTGCGCATCTTCAAATACTTCAGAGTCATCATCGCTCCATCTCATTCTTTTGTTTGCTCCTAAATCTTCTTCATCCCTCTCTCTAGACCTCTTCCTGGAAACACCTGGCTGAGGGTCCTCTTCTGGGATGTACTGGCGAACATCCATGCGGCCTTCAAATGCCTCCTCATTTTCAATGCCACCAACATTGAAAATGATCACAACCACAGCATCCCCGTGCTGTTCATCGTTGTCACCATTGGCATTATTGTCCCTCACATGAATATTTTGAACATCGTCGTCGTCGTCATCGTCATCGTCATCGTTGCCGTCGCCGTCGCCGCCTCATTGTCGTCATCGTTGTCGTCATCGTCGTTGTCGTTGTCGTCGTCGTCGTCGTCGTCGTCGTCGTCGTCGTCGTCATCGTCGTCGTCGTCATCGTCGTCGTCGTCGTCATCGTCGTCGTCGTCATCGTCGTCATCGTCATCGTCATCGTCTTCCTCCCCGTAAAGGTAATTGTCATATTGTGCCAGTACTGAAGCTATTAGCTCATCTAGATAGCAACAATATTCATGGAGAGCGCGATACAGACGGTTCAGGAAGCCATTAGCAGGTTCCTGATCTCCATTTGCCAACATTCGTGGGTTAACCTGTTGGCCTGCAAGATCATTAAATCTTTTAATTAACATCCATAACTATCTGCTGAAAATCTGTTTTTCATCAATTTCAAGACTGAGTACATGTGCTTACCGTTTTGGTTATTTTGTGGTCCGTCTCCACTTGCACTCATTTTGACTACAAGGAACACAAAACAACAATGATCACTAAACCTCAACCCAGAATGTTCAGAGAATTTGCTTTTTTTGTGATGACTTTAGGCTGCGTCCAAACGTACACGGCTATGTTTGAAAACGGACGTTTTTCCTTTTTCGTTTAAAAAAAAATAATCCAGTCCACATGTGCAGTTTTGAAAAAATATCTCCTTCCACATCTAAACACTAAAAACAAAGTGAAACGCTGTCAAGAACACGCCAAATCTTAACCGTGTAGAAATGTTGGCCAATCAGAAGTCTAGAAGCCTGGGTGGGAAAACCTCATAAAACCTTACGTACTTCTGAGAAGTTTTTGTCTTTTTCTGGAAAAGCAGCTAATTTTGTGTTACTTTCACGTGCCTTCATCGTTTCAAATGTTAATAACTAAAGACAGACTCACAACTTTGGAATGGACTAAATGCATACAGCATACATAAATGTCATTTTTTAAAATTACATTTCTTCCAAACCGACGTCAGGATTTGGGTTGGGAGAGTGTCTGTGTTGAATGTAGAATCCACGTCTGATGTAAGCGTGTAAAAACTGCAGATACTAAGATTAACAGACACAGTATGTTGTCTACATCTGCCATTGTAGAAATTGATCTCACGTAAACAATAACGTGGCCACAGCGTGACTTCAACAGCGGCGCACACTTTTGACATTGCCTGAGTAAATGTCCGTTTTCCTCGTCCACACCTAAACACAAAAACGTCCTTTTTAAAAATCTCACCTTTCAGTGACTCAATCTGCTGTTTAGGTGTGGACGAAAGGCCCAAATGCAGAGACAAAGCTGCGCTTTCAAAAATAGCCGTGTACATGTGCACGTAGGCTCAGTTTCTCAGAAATTCTAATAGTTTGTTTGAGAACAAAACTTACGTCTTCTCTATTTTCCTAAATGAACAAAATAATCTGAGAAATAATCGTGTTAAAAAGAGCTTCTGTCACTCTAAGATATGATTAAGAACATTTTCTAATTTATGTATCATTTGTCAAATATTACATCAGCTGACAAATAGTTAAGTCTTCATTTGTTTTCCTGAATAATAGATCCACATCATCCTCTCTATGATGGAAAATATAGTCTAGTCTTGCACAATGTAAAGTACATAAATACTGTCCTGGCAAGCAGGGAAATCAGGCTTTATATATTTAAGTAAATGATCTTGAGTTTATAAACTGAAATTTGAGCTTACTTTAGTTCTTGGTAGATTACACAGCAGTTAATCCTCAGGGAAACGTCCAAATTTCACTAAATAGTGGTCTGCTTTCATTCGGTTGCAGTGTCTCTTCAGTTTTGTGTTCATATGCTGATGTTTTCATTCAAACATGCTTAAATGCTGTGATGTCACTTTAGCAGCAAAGACTGCGGAATGTGCAGAGATTCTTTTGACATCAAGTTGTTTGCTCAGATTTTGATATCTTTTAAATGGAGACAAAACAAAACGCTATGGCAACAAAACAACAAGCTGTTTCCAGTGCTTAATATTTAACATGTCTTTGTTATAAATTTATTTGTACAAATCTGTGATGTTGATGTGCACAACGTGGGATTTAGACCTCGGAGGGTTAATCAACAAATCACGAAAAATTAGGTTTAAATTTCTGTTCATGACGGTGCAGATTTCTGACATTTTGTGTACTTGAAGCATTTAACAATTTGATTGTTTTCTAATAAAAACTGTGTGAAACTCAAGTTAGAACTGTGTTTGTAAATGAACCGTCCCATGTTGTGTAGCTTTCTGGATTTTATACTTATTGGGCTACATATTAATTTACTATACAGGCTATACAGTAGATAAAATCTAACCTCACATGTTTTATGTAACTAAAGTGTTTAATCATGTGGGCTACAGACAGTAATCAAGTTATGGACTGTATTGATATGAAAAACATGCATACTTAGTGCATTTGAATCATTTTAACCATATGTAACCACCTGCATGTCATGGTCCTGGGACTTCTACCTGGTTTTTTGTGTGTCTTGTATTGTTGTTGTTTGATGTCAGCTTTAGGGTCCCTCGGTTGTTCTGTTAAGATGTTGCTTATTTGATTTCCCCTCGTGACTTTACCCCCTGTGTGCCCCCTCTGTGTATCTGCCAGCCCCCATGCCTCGTTTCTCCTCCTTGTGTTTTATTCCATGTTTTCCCAGCCCGCTATGTCTGTGTTCTCTTCCAATCTGGTCTGCGTCTCTGTGTGCTTCCTGTTTTACTTTGATAGTCTCCCGTCAGTGTTGTGTTACTCCTGCCGTGTCTCGTTATGATTATCAGTGTCGCCTGTGTTCCCCGTGTGCTCCCACTTCCCTCGTTAACCCTCTGTGTATTTGTGTCCACGTCTCCTACATTACCTACATAATAGAGCTATAATAAATGTTTGTTTGGGGTTTTTTTAAGTACAGAAATCAGCTGCTAAAATAATTGTTTTGACTTTTTGGGAATGCTTTACGGTCTGTTCTGTAGGAACGCTGAATTAATATATTGACTGTCTGGCCCCTTCTGGCTATTTAATAGTTGCTGAAGGAGATTTTGTTCATCCCCAGCTAATCTCATCCATATTTATATAAAATCTAGCATACTCCACACCACACAAAGTCAGAAGCCAGTTAAAATCTGTATGTGGTACCTGAGGCGGTGCTGCACTGACCAGTTGTTTCTGGCTATTTGCTGGTTCAGCCTGCCTATCACTGCAACTCTTGGCTCTTATTGGTCAGGCTGGTGTGTGTGTGTGTGTGTGTGTGTGTGTGTGTGTGTGTGTGTGTGTGTGTGTGTGTGTGTGTGTGTGTGTGTGTGTGTGTGTGTGCATTTTAAAGACTTGATTCCCACAGTCCAAGTCAGGGTTTTAAAATGCGTTGCTGTCTCCATCCAGCATCAAAGCTGCATTGAAATTTCCTTCAATGAAATTTTGGCTCAAAGAAAAACAGTGTTGTTACTGTCAATCTCCAGTTAAAATAAAAGTGTAATTAAACCAAACGAAAGTAATGTACTAATGCTGGTCAAGACATTACCTGTAGCTGAGTGACATTTCCTCCAATTTCTGTTGGTGTCTGCAGTTTCCACTGGGGCTTAGTGTCACCTCTACTGCTACCCGACTGCACCACCATCCTCCACATTGCTATGCGTCCATTGGTGGTGCCAGCTGCTAGGATTTCTGAGTGTTGCAGAATTTTTAAAAAAGCAACGAGTTTTTTTTTTTTAACCTATGCATTTGCAAACATTCAGGAATATGGTGATGGGAAAGAAAAAGCTTCTTTTCATTTACAATTCTGTGCAAACTTTTGCCTTTGCCTGCACAGTATGAAACACAGTTGATCATCTCTCCCCTCTCATATCCCAGAGTCTCATCAAGAGACAAAACATAGTTATGTAGCACGTAGCATGTAGAGAAGTTTCTTGATGGAGCCCTCCACACTGAGAAGGACACTCGTCTTACAATACTCATCCACACTATGGACTTTACCTATATGCATAAGACATGGGATTAAAGATGAAATAAGTGGAATATCTGACAGCTCAAACCACAAAGTGTTCATATTTATTAAAGATCAGACTGGATTCTGGATCAATAGCATTATAGCTTGTTGTATTTTCCCCTTTCTGGAGACTCCCACAGGATTACTGCTTCACAGAGGCAAAATACACTTTTGATATAATTTTCAACAAGTCTGCTGGATTAATCAGACTTTCTAAAACCATGAATACTTTTCTCATACTGTTCTTCGTAACTGTTCAAAAATAAAGCAAAGTATCATCAATGCAATTTACAGAACAAACAAATAAAATAAACAGCCTTTATACATTGAGGGCTGTGACTGCAGAAGACTGCTGGCCTCAGACAAAATTATACAAGGCAATGAAAAAACAAATTGTGTCTTAAAGAAAGTATGGTCAAATGCATTGAAAATAACAAATGATTTAATTTTCCAAACTCCAACAGGAATCACAAACTCCTACCATCTGCAGTGCAGATAAAGAATCCAAGTCCCTCCTGTGGCCCCATCTTCAGAGGTGCCCCCTTCCAGCTAAACTTGTCCAGCGCACGCTCATCTCCTCTCACAGATGCTCGAGCTAGCATTGCCACATCACTATAATAAAATACAAAAAATGTATTTGATTAAAAAAATGTCATACTCTTCCACTTGATATGGGACTTCGAAGGCTGCTTACTCTCCAGGTGTGGACGGTCTGAAGATGCAGCAAGTTAAAGGTTTCTTGTATTCATGTTTTACAAGGTGGTTTCCATGAAGTCTCCCTCTCGCATCCACCTTCCATACTGCCAAAGCTCCAGACTGTCAATAACAATAATAACAGTAATAGTTAACAGTTAATTTGCCTAGCACTTTCAAAACAGTTACAAAGTGTGTTAAAGAACACAATAAAATCTTAGTTAAAAACACAAAAGAAAAGTTCAAAGAGTTAAAACACGAAACGGTTTGTTTTCTTTTTGCATTGAGCCAGGCTGCACGGACAGCTAAGAGTGTCTGATGTGCAGAATGCAGGCAGTGACTTGGTTCATAAAAAGTGACCAAATCTGTAACATGTAAGGCTTGTACCCATGTATCGTATACCCAAAAGGTTGTGAGGAGGAGAATGATGATTTATTTCTTTGAATTTGTTATAAGTCTGGCAGCTGAGATTTAAATGAGCTGGAGGTGAAAGATGGACTTCTGGCTGAGATCCCAGTAGAAGGAATTACAATTATTCAAACACAATGAGATAAAAGGATTTAATGGGTGTGATAAATGTGGTTGCACTCACCTGTTCACGGCACCTGATGTTAATGAGCAGAAAGGTAGGGTGAGCATGAGGCGAAACCTTCTGTTGACTGCAGCTTGAGCGCAGCTTGAATCATTTTGATGCATCTTTTGGTTATGTATACTTCTGCACTAAGTTATGCAATAGGCCAATGTTGAAATTTGGCATAGTAAATGGTGCAGTTATTTGTGCAGTCTGTGCATTTGTTTAATGGTTTGAGGCCGTGTGCCGATTTGTACAGTGGACAGTTGTATGTGGAATAAAAGTAGCAAATAGTACAGAGGTGTATCTCATGGCGATCGTGGTCAGAGTTGGGTCCTTGTTTAGCCTGCCCGGCTGGCAGTTCGGTGTTGGAGGGCCGCATTCAGTTTGGTGGAGGAAGGCCGTGGTCAGTGTCCCAGCTCGCTTTCAGTGCGCCCAGGTGGTGTGGCTAATTGTAGCTCCATCACCAGTGTTGAATGTGTTGTGAATGTGTGTGTGAATGGGTGGATGACAGGTTGTTAAAGCGCTTTGGGTCTTAGGACTAAAAAGCGCTATACTCAATACAGGCCATTGGAGTGACTTGGGGTTAATGTCTTGCCCAAGGACAGTTAGCATGCACTCTGGAGCAGCCAGGGATCGACCCAAAAACCATCTGATTAGTAGATGACCTGCTCCACCTCCTGAGCCACAGCCACCCCTTTCAGAGGTAAAGAATGATTTAGAAAGTAAGTACAGTAATTTTTTGAGGTGATTTGATTTAAAAAAAATCATTTTTGCTTCTAATTACATAATTAAGGTGTAATTACATCTTCCAACAAATTGATACATAAACGTATCATTTATCTACTAAAAATACATAGGAGCTGGCGTCATGTTGTGGAAGCTGCCATCTTGCCCCACCATCATACACTGGCTGAGATGGGCATCGCTGCGCCGCCTTTTCATGTTTTATGTAAGTGGATTTATACATTACTTTGAATTTAAAGATGTCAAATAGCTCTTTCACACTACATATGACTATTTCACATTTGTACATGTATATTTTGGTGATCTCTTTCTCAGTATGTTTTTCTTCTTATGGAAATAAGCTAATTTTAAACCAGTTAATGTTAGGCTCCAGTGTCCTAAAAAATCACACCTTTCCCCTGATAAACAAATTGATTGGATTCTCTCATTGTGTGGGAATTGATTATCAATTACAACTTCAATGAGCCACTTCAAAGAAAGTTTCACCCGCGTGGGCAGCAACAGAAAGTCCAGATGTGGAAACAGAAGGTTTCCACATTAAAATATCGATATTTGAATCATTTTGGGGTAAATTGTAGTTTTTCATTAACAGGAACACAGTGGAAAGAAACTATCATTCAGATTGTCTACATTGGAAAGAACTACTCCCTCTTCCGCCTTTTATAGTCATGTGTGAAATACGGCTGTATAAATGTGTGGCAGCCTGTGGCGTGCGCACTCACAACAATGGCTGAGCGTAACTGGAGTCATGTGCGCACGTATTTTACATCCACAAACAGCCCAGACGTGGTTTGCGATACATGTGGCAAGAAAGTGAGGTGTTGTGGCAACACCACTAACCTTGTCAAACACCTCAAAGTAAATCATATCACAGAATATGACGAGCTTATGTTGAGGCAAACTGAAGAGGAGGAGAAGGACGGGTGCTGCTAGGGTGAGACAGACGTCTCTCAGGGAGTCCTTTAGTGCTGCAGGCAGGCAAGGTGTTCACATAGTGCACAACTTCAGGTTTTTGATTTCTATATGATGAATTCTGCATTATTAAGTGATAAGAACAAGTAATCTGATGTCCTGTAATGATTATGACGCTATAATTTGAGATACAATAAAAGAGTAAAGTTTTTGTACAAAGTATCGGAGCAGTATCGTCGATACCACCCTGAATTTTACTTGGTATGGGATCGGAAAGGAAATCAGTGGTATCACACATCACTAGTGATCAAATGTCAGGCCAAGCTGGAACTGATTCCTGTCTTCTGTAACTTCTACAACACTGTCCAATAGAGACACATGAATGAACTGCAGCGTCATTAAAAACACTGATGATCTTTATTTAAAAATGTAATACATTTACATCTGAATAAACTTTTAGGCATTACGCTGACGGAGGGATGGATGGACCATGAATGCTTTCTCATCCTTCTTGTCATGCACCATGGAAGTGTCTGAGGGGCTTTTCCACTTGGAATGGGGATACTGTGTCCACACTTCAGAGGTGGAGTTTCCAGCATCTCACCTGGGCCTCATCTGCAAACAATCAGCAGGAGGGCTTCTTAAACCAGCGCTGCCTGCTACTCCTCGCCAGTTTGTTCTGCCATCTCCAGTGGTAACTAGGCTTCCCCTCTGCTCCAGTTCTGGCGTGCTCCTTCCCTGTGTTTAACCTTGTTTTCCCTGTGTTTAGGTCTCCTCTGCCAACGTACTCATCCTACCCTCAAACTCCCTTACCCGTCCAGCAACTTCTTCTCCCTCTGTTGCAGAATTCCCGTTGGATTGTTCCCATCAGGAGCCAGGTGTTCAGTCTCTCGATAGCTTTTCCTCTGGTTCCTGCTGTCTGCTGACACTCCTAGCTCGAGCCACGTTCTCCATTCCCTCTCTAAAGTCTCATAAATAGTTTAACCATGTGCATTGAATCTGCATTTGGGTCTAAGCTTTCTATGCAGGGAAGAAATCATCACAGTGACATCTATTTAATTTTCAATTCAATTTTATTTAAAGAGCGCCAAATGACAGCAACAGTCACCTGAAGGCGCTTTATATTGTAAGATATACTTACAAAGAAAACCCCAACAATCATATGACCCCCTATGAGCAAGCACTTTGGCGACAGTGGGAAGGAAAAACTCCCTTTTAACAGGAAGAAACCTCCAGCAGAACCAGGCTCAGGGAGGGGCGGCCATCTGCTGCGACCGGTTGGGGAGGGGCAAGGAAAATAGTATAAAGACATGGAACAGAGACAGAGGTTAATAACAAGTACCATTCAGTGCAGAGAGGTCTATTAAACATAGTGGGTGAAGAAGAAACACCCAGTGCATCATGGGAATCCCCCGGCAGCCTAATGCTGGACATACACTGTGCGATTTTTGGCCCATTTTGAGCCGATTTTTCAGTCGTGCGATCGTTTTGGGGATCGTCCCGAGTTTGGCCTTGATCAAACTTCTCACCCCTGCGAGTCAATCCTACAGTTTGATCAGGAGCCGAATAACGCGACTGAAAAATCGCAGCACAGTGTATGCCCAGCTTATTGCAGCATAGAGGATTCAGGATCACCTGAGTAGGCCATCAGATTACTGAAAGGATACTGAAAAAACCCGTCGAAGTAGTCTTAGTCTTCATTGCTGCTGGTCGACTCAATTGAACACCTCTGAAGTTTGCACACAGGCAAGTATTCCTCTTCTTGCTCAAAATCCTCTCGGGAACGCTTCCTCGAGCCTCCAGTTTCGTGTTCAAGCTCTTCGTGCGCATCTTCAAATACTTCAGAGTCATCATCGCTCCATCTCATTCTTTTGTTTGCTCCTAAATCTTCTTCATCCCTCTCTCTAGACCTCTTCCTGGAAACACCTGGCTGAGGGTCCTCTTCTGGGATGTACTGGCGACATCCATGCGGCCTTCAAATGCCTCCTCATTTTCAATGCCACCAACATTGAAAATGATCACAACCACAGCATCCCCGTGCTGTTCATCGTTGTCACCATTGGCATTATTGTCCCTCACATGAATATTTTGAACATCGTCGTCGTCGTCATCGTCATCGTCATCGTTGCCGTCGCCGTCGCCGCCATCATTGTCGTCATCGTTGTCGTCATCGTCGTTGTCGTTGTCGTCGTCGTCGTCGTCGTCGTCATCGTCGTCATCGTCGTCGTCGTCATCGTCGTCATCGTCGTCGTCGTCATCGTCGTCGTCGTCATCGTCGTCGTCGTCATCGTCGTCATCGTCATCGTCATCGTCTTCCTCCCCGTAAAGGTAATTGTCATATTGTGCCAGTACTGAAGCTATTAGCTCATCTAGATAGCAACAATATTCATGGAGAGCGCGATACAGACGGTTCAGGAAGCCATTAGCAGGTTCCTGATCTCCATTTGCCAACATTCGTGGGTTAACCTGTTGGCCTGCAAGATCATTAAATCTTTTAATTAACATCCATAACTATCTGCTGAAAATCTGTTTTTCATCAATTTCAAGACTGAGTACATGTGCTTACCGTTTTGGTTATTTTGTGGTCCGTCTCCACTTGCACTCATTTTGACTACAAGGAACACAAAACAACAATGATCACTAAACCTCAACCCAGAATGTTCAGAGAATTTGCTTTTTTTGTGATGACTTTAGGCTGCGTCCAAACGTACACGGCTATGTTTGAAAACGGACGTTTTTCCTTTTTCGTTTAAAAAAAAATAATCCAGTCCACATGTGCAGTTTTGAAAAAATATCTCCTTCCACATCTAAACACTAAAAACAAAGTGAAACGCTGTCAAGAACACGCCAAATCTTAACCGTGTAGAAATGTTGGCCAATCAGAAGTCTAGAAGCCTGGGTGGGAAAACCTCATAAAACCTTACGTACTTCTGAGAAGTTTTTGTCTTTTTCTGGAAAAGCAGCTAATTTTGTGTTACTTTCACGTGCCTTCATCGTTTCAAATGTTAATAACTAAAGACAGACTCACAACTTTGGAATGGACTAAATGCATACAGCATACATAAATGTCATTTTTTTAAATTACATTTCTTCCAAACCGACGTCAGGATTTGGGTTGGGAGAGCGTCTGTGTTGAATGTAGAATCCACGTCTGATGTAAGCGTGTAAAAACTGCAGATACTAAGATTAACAGACACAGTATGTTGTCTACATCTGCCATTGTAGAAATTGATCTCACGTAAACAATAACGTGGCCACAGCGTGACTTCAACAGCGGCGCACACTTTTGACATTGCCTGAGTAAATGTCCGTTTTCCTCGTCCACACCTAAACACAAAACGTCCTTTTTAAAAATCTCACCTTTCAGTGACTCAATCTGCTGTTTAGGTGTGGACGAAAGGCCCAAATGCAGAGACAAAGCTGCGCTTTCAAAAATAGCCGTGTACATGTGCACGTAGGCTCAGTTTCTCAGAAATTCTAATAGTTTGTTTGAGAACAAAACTTACGTCTTCTCTATTTTCCTAAATGAACAAAATAATCTGAGAAATAATCGTGTTAAAAAGAGCTTCTGTCACTCTAAGATATGATTAAGAACATTTTCTAATTTATGTATCATTTGTCAAATATTACATCAGCTGACAAATAGTTAAGTCTTCATTTGTTTTCCTGAATAATAGATCCACATCATCCTCTCTATGATGGAAAATATAGTCTAGTCTTGCACAATGTAAAGTACATAAATACTGTCCTGGCAAGCAGGGAAATCAGGCTTTATATATTTAAGTAAATGATCTTGAGTTTATAAACTGAAATTTGAGCTTACTTTAGTTCTTGGTAGATTACACAGCAGTTAATCCTCAGGGAAACGTCCAAATGTCACTAAATAGTGGTCTGCTTTCATTCGGTTGCAGTGTCTCTTCCGTTTTGTGTTCATATGCTGATGTTTTCATTCAAACATGCTTAAATGCTGTGATGTCACTTTAGCAGCAAAGACTGCGGAATGTGCAGAGATTCTTTTGACATCAAGTTGTTTGCTCAGATTTTGATATCTTTTAAATGGAGACAAAACAAAACGCTATGGCAACAAAACAACAAGCTGTTTCCAGTGCTTAATATTTAACATGTCTTTGTTATAAATTTTATTTGTACAAATCTGTGATGTTGATGTGCACAACGTGGGATTTAGACCTCGGAGGGTTAATCAACAAATCACGAAAATTAGGTTTAAATTTCTGTTCATGACGGTGCAGATTTCTGACATTTTGTGTACTTGAAGCATTTAACAATTTGATTGTTTTCTAATAAAAACTGTGTGAAACTCAAGTTAGAACTGTGTTTGTAAATGAACCGCCCATGTTGTGTAGCTTTCTGGATTTTATACTTATTGGGCTACATATCAATTTACTATACAGGCTATACAGTAGATAAAATCTAACCTCACATGTTTTATGTAACTAAAGTGTTTAATCATGTGGGCTACAGACAGTAATCAAGTTATGGACTATATTGATATGAAAAACATGCATACTTAGTGCATTTGAATCATTTTAACCATATGTAACCACCTGCATGTCATGGTCCTGGGACTTCTACCTGGTTTTTTGTGTGTCTTGTATTGTTGTTGTTTGATGTCAGCTTTAGGGTCCCTCGGTTGTTCTGTTAAGATGTTGCTTATTTGATTTCCCCTCGTGACTTTACCCCCTGTGTGCCCCCTCTGTGTATCTGCCAGCCCCCATGCCTCGTTTCTCCTCCTTGTGTTTTATTCCATGTTTTCCCAGCCCGCTATGTCTGTGTTCTCTTCCAATCTGGTCTGCGTCTCTGTGTGCTTCCTGTTTTACTTTGATAGTCTCCCGTCAGTGTTGTGTTACTCCTGCCGTGTCTCGTTATGATTATCAGTGTCGCCTGTGTTCCCCGTGTGCTCCCACTTCCCTCGTTAACCCTCTGTGTATTTGTGTCCACGTCTCCTACATTACCTACATAATAGAGCTATAATAAATGTTTGTTTGGGGTTTTTTTAAGTACAGAAATCAGCTGCTAAAATAATTGTTTTGACTTTTTGGGAATGCTTTACGGTCTGTTCTGTAGGAACGCTGAATTAATATATTGACTGTCTGGCCCCTTCTGGCTATTTAATAGTTGCTGAAGGAGATTTTGTTCATCCCCAGCTAATCTCATCCATATTTATATAAAATCTAGCATACTCCACACCACACAAAGTCAGAAGCCAGTTAAAATCTGTATGTGGTACCTGAGGCGGTGCTGCACTGACCAGTTGTTTCTGGCTATTTGCTGGTTCAGCCTGCCTATCACTGCAACTCTTGGCTCTTATTGGTCAGGCTGGTGTGTGTGTGTGTGTGTGTGTGTGGTGTGTGTGTGTGTGTGTGTGTGTGTGTGTGTGTGTGTGTGTGTGCGTATTGTAAAGACTTGATTCCCACAGTCCAAGTCAGGGTTTTAAAATGCGTTGCTGTCTCCATCCAGCATCAAAGCTGCATTGAAATTTCCTTCAATGAAATTTTGGCTCAAAGAAAAACAGTGTTGTTACTGTCAATCTCCAGTTAAAATAAAAGTGTAATTAAACCAAACGAAAGTAATGTACTAATGCTGGTCAAGACATTACCTGTAGCTGAGTGACATTTCTGTTGGTGTCTGCAGTTTCCACTGGGGCTTAGTGTCTACTGCTACCCGACTGCACCACCATCCTCCACATTGCTATGCGTCCATTGGTGGTGCCAGCTGCTAGGATTTCTGAGTGTTGCAGAATTTTTAAAAAAGCAACGAGTTTTTTATTTTTAACCTATGCATTTGCAAACATTCAGGAATATGGTGATGGGAAAGAAAAAGGTGGTTTCCATGAAGTCTCCCTCTCGCATCCACCTTCCATACTGCCAAAGCTCCAGACTGTCAATAACAATAATAACAGTAATAGTTAACAGTTAATTTGCCTAGCACTTTCAAAACAGTTACAAAGTGTGTTAAAGAACACAATAAAATCTTAGTTAAAAACTCAAAAGAAAAGTTCAAAGAGTTAAAACACGAAACGGTTTGTTTTCTTTTTGCATTGAGCCAGGCTGCACAGACAGCTAAGAGTGTCTGATGTGCAGAATGCAGGCAGTGACTTGGTTCATAAAAAGTGACCAAATCTGAAACAAGGCTTGTACCCATGTATCGTATACCCAAAAGGTTGTGAGGAGGAGAATGATGATTTATTTCTTTGAATTTGTTATAAGTCTGGCAGCTGAGATTTAAATGAGCTGGAGGTGAAAGATGGACTTCTGGCTGAGATCCCAGTAGAAGGAATTACAATTATTCAAACACAATGAGATAAAAGGATTTAATGGGTGTGATAAATGTGGTTGCACTCACCTGTTCACGGCACCTGATGTTAATGAGCAGAAAGGTAGGGTGAGCATGAGGCGAAACCTTCTGTTGACTGCAGCTTGAGCGCAGCTTGAATCATTTTGATGCATCTTTTGGTTTATGTATACTTCTGCACTAAGTTATGCAATAGGCCAATGTTGAAATTTGGCATAGTAAATGTTGCAGTTATTTGTGCAGTCTGTGCATTTGTTTAATGGTTTGAGGCCGTGTGCCGATTTGTACAGTGGACAGTTGTATGTGGAATAAAAGTAGCAAATAGTACAGAGGTGTATCTCATGGGGCGATCGTGGCTCAAGAGTTGGGAGTTCGCCTTGTAATCGGAAGGTTGCCGGTTCGAGCCCCGGCTTGGACAGTCTCGGTCGTTGTGTCCTTGGGCAAGACACTTCACCCGTTGCCGCCTGGTGGTGGTCAGAGGGCCCGGTGGTGCCAGTGTCCGGCAGCCTCGCCTCTGTCAGTGCGCCCCAGGGTGGCTGTGGCTACATTGTAGCTTGCCATCACCAGTGTGTGAATGTGTGTGTGAATGGGTGGATGACAGGTTGTGTAAAGCGCTTTGGGGTCCTTAGGGACTAGAAAAGCGCTATACAAATACAGGCCATTTACCATTTACTGTTGCACGTCATCTGTGTCCTCATGTTTAGCCTGCCGCGGCCGTTGGTTGGAGGAGCCGCAATAGTTTGGAAAGGAAGGAAGCAGTAAGGTCAGTTTCCATTCTGGGTTTTCAGCATTAATAAAGAAACCTGCAACAAGGTGAGTAATGTTTGAGGTCCAAAAGAAATCAACACAGAGAAATTTTTACAGTGCTTTTCTACTCTACCTGAACATTCAAAGCGCTCTATACAGGTTGCCTCATTCACACCTGTTCATAGAAGCCCTTTTTCTGTGCTTTCTATCTAACATTCACACACATTCATACTCTGATGAATGCATCAGAGAGTGACTTGGGGTTAATGTCTTGCCCAAGGACAGTTAGCATGCAGTCTGGAGCAGCCAGGGATCGACCCAAAAACCATCTGATTAGTAGATGACCTGCTCCACCTCCTGAGCCACAGCCACCCCTTTCAGAGGTAAAGAATGATTTAGAAAGTAAGTACAGTAATTTTTTGAGGTGATTTGATTTTTAAAAAAATCATTTTTGCTTCTAATTACATAATTAAGGTGTAATTACATCTTCCAACAAATTGATACATAAACGTATCATTTATCTACTAAAAATACATAGGAGCTGGCGTCATGTTGTGGAAGCTGCCATCTTGCCCCACCATCATACACTGGCTGAGATGGGCATCGCTGCGCCGCCTTTTCATGTTTTATGTAAGTGGATTTATACATTACTTTGAATTTAAAGATGTCAAATAGCTCTTTCACACTACATATGACTATTTCACATTTGTACATGTATATTTTGGTGATCTCTTTCTCAGTATGTTTTTCTTCTTATGGAAATAAGCTAATTTTAAACCAGTTAATGTTAGGCTCCAGTGTCCTAAGAAATCACACCTTTCCCCTGATAAACAAATTGATTGGATTCTCACATTGTGTGGGAATTGATTATCAATTACAACTTCAATGAGCCACTTCAAAGAAAGTTTCACCCGCGTGGGCAGCAACAGAAAGTCCAGATGTGGAAACAGAAGGTTTCCACATTAAAATATCGATATTTGAATCATTTTGGGGTAAATTGTAGTTTTTCATTAACAGGAACACAGTGGAAAGAAACTATCATTCAGATTGTCTACATTGGAAAGAACTACTCCCTCTTCCGCCTTTTATAGTCATGTGTGAAATACGGCTGTATAAATGTGTGGCAGCCTGTGGCGTGCGCACTCACAACAATGGCTGAGCGTAACTGGAGTCATGTGCGCACGTATTTTACATCCACAAACAGCCCAGACGTGGTTTGCGATACATGTGGCAAGAAAGTGAGGTGTTGTGGCAACACCACTAACCTTGTCAAACACCTCAAGTAAATCATATCACAGAATATGACGAGCTTATGTTGAGGCAAACTGAAGAGGAGGAGAAGGACGGGTGCTGCTAGGGTGAGACAGACGTCTCTCAGGGAGTCCTTTAGTGCTGCAGGCAGGCAAGGTGTTCACATAGTGCACAACTTCAGGTTTTGATTTCTATATGATGAATTCTGCATTATTAAGTGATAAGAACAAGTAATCTGATGTCCTGTAATGATTATGACGCTATAATTTGAGATACAATAAAAGAGTAAAGTTTTTGTACAAAGTATCGGAGCAGTATCGTCGATACCACCCTGAATTTTACTTGGTATGGGATCGGAAAGGAAATCAGTGGTATCACACATCACTAGTGATCAAATGTCAGGCCAAGCTGGAACTGATTCCTGTCTTCTGTAACTTCTACAACACTGTCCAATAGAGACACATGAATGAACTGCAGCGTCATTAAAAACACTGATGATCTTTATTTAAAAATGTAATACATTTACATCTGAATAAACTTTTAGGCATTACGCTGACGGAGGGATGGATGGACCATGAATGCTTTCTCATCCTTCTTGTCATGCACCATGGAAGTGTCTGAGGGGCTTTTCCACTTGGAATGGGGATACTGTGTCCACACTTCAGAGGTGGAGTTTCCAGCATCTCACCTGGGCCTCATCTGCAAACAATCAGCAGGAGGGCTTCTTAAACCAGCGCTGCCTGCTACTCCTCGCCAGTTTGTTCTGCCATCTCCAGTGGTAACTAGGCTTCCCCTCTGCTCCAGTTCTGGCGTGCTCCTTCCCTGTGTTTAACCTTGTTTCCCTGTGTTTAGGTCTCCTCTGCCAACGTACTCATCCTACCCTCAAACTCCCTTACCCGTCCAGCAACTTCTTCTCCCTCTGTTGCAGAATTCCCGTTGGATTGTTCCCATCAGGAGCCAGGTGTTCAGTCTCTCGATAGCTTTTCCTCTGGTTCCTGCTGTCTGCTGACACTCCTAGCTCGAGCCACGTTCTCCATTCCCTCTCTAAAGTCTCATAAATAGTTTAACCATGTGCATTGAATCTGCATTTGGGTCTAAGCTTTCTATGCAGGGAAGAAATCATCACAGTGACATCTATTTAATTTTCAATTCAATTTTATTTAAAGAGCGCCAAATGACAGCAACAGTCACCTGAAGGCGCTTTATATTGTAAGATATACTTACAAAGAAAACCCCAACAATCATATGACCCCCTATGAGCAAGCACTTTGGCGACAGTGGGAAGGAAAAACTCCCTTTTAACAGGAAGAAACCTCCAGCAGAACCAGGCTCAGGGAGGGGCGGCCATCTGCTGCGACCGGTTGGGGAGGGGCAAGGAAAATAGTATAAAGACATGGAACAGAGACAGAGGTTAATAACAAGTACCATTCAGTGCAGAGAGGTCTATTAAACATAGTGGGTGAAGAAGAAACACCCAGTGCATCATGGGAATCCCCGGCAGCCTAATGCTGGGCATACACTGTGCGATTTTGGCCCATTTTGAGCCGATTTTTCAGTCGTGCGATCGTTTTGGGGATCGTCCCGAGTTTGGCCTTGATCAAACTTCTCACCCCTGCGAGTCAATCCTACAGTTTGATCAGGAGCCGAATAACGCGACTGAAAAATCGCAGCACAGTGTATGCCCAGCTTATTGCAGCATAGAGGATTCAGGATCACCTGAGTAGGCCATCAGATTACTGAAAGGATACTGAAAAAACCCGTCGAAGTAGTCTTAGTCTTCATTGCTGCTGGTCGACTCAATTGAACACCTCTGAAGTTTGCACACAGGCAAGTATTCCTCTTCTTGCTCAAAATCCTCTCGGGAACGCTTCCTCGAGCCTCCAGTTTCGTGTTCAAGCTCTTCGTGCGCATCTTCAAATACTTCAGAGTCATCATCGCTCCATCTCATTCTTTTGTTTGCTCCTAAATCTTCTTCATCCCTCTCTCTAGACCTCTTCCTGGAAACACCTGGCTGAGGGTCCTCTTCTGGGATGTACTGGCGAACATCCATGCGGCCTTCAAATGCCTCCTCATTTTCAATGCCACCAACATTGAAAATGATCACAACCACAGCATCCCCGTGCTGTTCATCGTTGTCACCATTGGCATTATTGTCCCTCACATGAATATTTGAACATCGTCGTCGTCGTCATCGTCATCGTTGCCGTCGCCGTCGCCGCCGTCATTGTCGTCATCGTTGTCGTCATCGTCGTTGTCGTTGTCGTCGTCGTCGTCGTCGTCGTCATCGTCGTCATCGTCGTCGTCGTCGTCGTCATCGTCGTCGTCGTCATCGTCGTCATCGTCATCGTCATCGTCTTCCTCCCCGTAAAGGTAATTGTCATATTGTGCCAGTACTGAAGCTATTAGCTCATCTAGATAGCAACAATATTCATGGAGAGCGCGATACAGACGGTTCAGGAAGCCATTAGCAGGTTCCTGATCTCCATTTGCCAACATTCGTGGGTTAACCTGTTGGCCTGCAAGATCATTAAATCTTTTAATTAACATCCATAACTATCTGCTGAAAATCTGTTTTTCATCAATTTCAAGACTGAGTACATGTGCTTACCGTTTTGGTTATTTGTGGTCCGTCTCCACTTGCACTCATTTTGACTACAAGGAACACAAAACAACAATGATCACTAAACCTCAACCCAGAATGTTCAGAGAATTTGCTTTTTTTGTGATGACTTTAGGCTGCGTCCAAACGTACACGGCTATGTTTGAAAACGGACATTTTCCTTTTTCGTTTAAAAAAAAAATAACCAGTCCACATGTGCAGTTTTGAAAAAATATCTCCTTCCACATCTAAACACTAAAAACAAAGTGAAACGCTGTCAAGAACACGCCAAATCTTAACCGTGTAGAAATGTTGGCCAATCAGAAGTCTAGAAGCCTGGTGGGAAAACCTCATAAAACCTTACGTACTTCTGAGAAGTTTTTGTCTTTTTCTGGAAAAGCAGCTAATTTTGTGTTACTTTCACGTGCCTTCATCGTTTCAAATGTTAATAACTAAAGACAGACTCACAACTTTGGAATGGACTAAATGCATACAGCATACATAAATGTCATTTTTTTAAATTACATTTCTTCCAAACCGACGTCAGGATTTGGGTTGGGAGAGCGTCTGTGTTGAATGTAGAATCCACGTCTGATGTAAGCGTGTAAAAACTGCAGATACTAAGATTAACAGACACAGTATGTTGTCTACATCTGCCATTGTAGAAATTGATCTCACGTAAACAATAACGTGGCCACAGCGTGACTTCAACAGCAGCGCACACTTTTGACATTGCCTGAGTAAATGTCCGTTTTCCTCGTCCACACCTGAACACAAAAACGTCCTTTTTAAAAATCTCACCTTTCAGTGACTCAATCTGCTGTTTAGGTGTGGACGAAAGGCCCAAATGCAGAGACAAAGCTGCGCTTTCAAAAATAGCCGTGTACATGTGCACGTAGGCTCAGTTTCTCAGAAATTCTAATAGTTGTTTGAGAACAAAACTTACGTCTTCTCTATTTTCCTAAATGAACAAAATAATCTGAGAAATAATCGTGTTAAAAAGAGCTTCTGTCACTCTAAGATATGATTAAGAACATTTTCTAATTTATGTATCATTTGTCAAATATTACATCAGCTGACAAATAGTTAAGTCTTCATTGTTTTCCTGAATAATAGATCCACATCATCCTCTCTATGATGGAAAATATAGTCTAGTCTTGCACAATGTAAAGTACATAAATACTGTCCTGGCAAGCAGGGAAATCAGGCTTTATATATTTAAGTAAATGATCTTGAGTTTATAAACTGAAATTTGAGCTTACTTTAGTTCTTGGTAGATTACACAGCAGTTAATCCTCAGGGAAACGTCCAAATGTCACTAAATAGTGGTCTGCTTTCATTCGGTTGCAGTGTCTCTTCAGTTTTGTGTTCATATGCTGATGTTTTCATTCAAACATGCTTAAATGCTGTGATGTCACTTTAGCAGCAAAGACTGCGGAATGTGCAGAGATTCTTTTGACATCAAGTTGTTTGCTCAGATTTGATATCTTTTAAATGGAGACAAAACAAAACGCTATGGCAACAAAACAACAAGCTGTTTCCAGTGCTTAATATTTAACATGTCTTTGTTATAAATTTGATTTGTACAAATCTGTGATGTTGATGTGCACAACGTGGGATTTAGACCTCGGAGGGTTAATCAACAAATCACGAAAAATTAGGTTTAAATTTCTGTTCATGACGGTGCAGATTTCTGACATTTTGTGTACTTGAAGCATTTAACAATTTGATTGTTTTCTAATAAAAACTGTGTGAAACTCAAGTTAGAACTGTGTTTGTAAATGAACCGTCCCATGTTGTGTAGCTTTCTGGATTTTATACTTATTGGGCTACATATTAATTTACTATACAGGCTATACAGTAGATAAAATCTAACCTCACATGTTTTATGTAACTAAAGTGTTTAATCATGTGGGCTACAGACAGTAATCAAGTTATGGACTATATTGATATGAAAAACATGCATACTTAGTGCATTTGAATCATTTTAACCATATGTAACCACCTGCATGTCATGGTCCTGGGACTTCTACCTGGTTTTTGTGTGTCTTGTATTGTTGTTGTTTGATGTCAGCTTTAGGGTCCCTCGGTTGTTCTGTTAAGATGTTGCTTATTTGATTTCCCCTCGTGACTTTACCCCCTGTGTGCCCCCTCTGTGTATCTGCCAGCCCCCATGCCTCGTTTCTCCTCCTTGTGTTTTATTCCATGTTTTCCCAGCCCGCTATGTCTGTGTTCTCTTCCAATCTGGTCTGCGTCTCTGTGTGCTTCCTGTTTTACTTTGATAGTCTCCCGTCAGTGTTGTGTTACTCCTGCCGTGTCTCGTTATGATTATCAGTGTCGCCTGTGTTCCCCGTGTGCTCCCACTTCCCTCGTTAACCCTCTGTGTATTTGTGTCCACGTCTCCTACATTACCTACATAATAGAGCTATAATAAATGTTTGTTTGGGGTTTTTTAAGTACAGAAATCAGCTGCTAAAATAATTGTTTTGACTTTTTGGGAATGCTTTACGGTCTGTTCTGTAGGAACGCTGAATTAATATATTGACTGTCTGGCCCCTTCTGGCTATTTAATAGTTGCTGAAGGAGATTTTGTTCATCCCAGCTAATCTCATCCATATTTATATAAAATCTAGCATACTCCACACCACACAAAGTCAGAAGCCAGTTAAAATCTGTATGTGGTACCTGAGGCGGTGCTGCACTGACCAGTTGTTTCTGGCTATTTGCTGGTTCAGCCTGCCTATCACTGCAACTCTTGGCTCTTATTGGTCAGGCTGGTGTGTGTGTGTGTGTGTGTGTGTGTGTGTGTGTGTGTGTGTGTGTGCATTGTAAAGACTTGATTCCCACAGTCCAAGTCAGGGTTTTAAAATGCGTTGCTGTCTCCATCCAGCATCAAAGCTGCATTGAAATTTCCTTCAATGAAATTTTGGCTCAAAGAAAAACAGTGTTGTTACTGTCAATCTCCAGTTAAAATAAAAGTGTAATTAAACCAAACGAAAGTAATGTACTAATGCTGGTCAAGACATTACCTGTAGCTGAGTGACATTTCTGTTGGTGTCTGCAGTTTCCACTGGGGCTTAGTGTCTACTGCTACCCGACTGCACCACCATCCTCCACATTGCTATGCGTCCATTGGTGGTGCCAGCTGCTAGGATTTCTGAGTGTTGCAGAATTTTTAAAAAAGCAACGAGTTTTTTATTTTTAACCTATGCATTTGGAAACATTCAGGAATATGGTGATGGGAAAGAAAAAGGTGGTTTCCATGAAGTCTCCCTCTCGCATCCACCTTCCATACTGCCAAAGCTCCAGACTGTCAATAACAATAATAACAGTAATAGTTAACAGTTAATTTGCCTAGCACTTTCAAAACAGTTACAAAGTGTGTTAAAGAACACAATAAAATCTAAGTTAAAAACTCAAAAGAAAAGTTCAAAGAGTTAAAACACGAAACGGTTTGTTTTCTTTTTGCATTGAGCCAGGCTGCACGGACAGCTAAGAGTGTCTGATGTGCAGAATGCAGGCAGTGACTTGGTTCATAAAAAGTGACCAAATCTGTAACAAGGCTTGTACCCATGTATCGTATACCCAAAAGGTTGTGAGGAGGAGAATGATGATTTATTTCTTTGAATTTGTTATAAGTCTGGCAGCTGAGATTTAAATGAGCTGGAGGTGAAAGATGGACTTCTGGCTGAGATCCCAGTAGAAGGAATTACAATTATTCAAACACAATGAGATAAAAGGATTTAATGGGTGTGATAAATGTGGTTGCACTCACCTGTTCACGGCACCTGATGTTAATGAGCAGAAAGGTAGGGTGAGCATGAGGCGAAACCTTCTGTTGACTGCAGCTTGAGCGCAGCTTGAATCATTTTGATGCATCTTTTGGTTTATGTATACTTCTGCACTAAGTTATGCAATAGGCCAATGTTGAAATTTGGCATAGTAAATGGTGCAGTTATTTGTGCAGTCTGTGCATTTGTTTAATGGTTTGAGGCCGTGTGCCGATTTGTACAGTGGACAGTTGTATGTGGAATAAAAGTAGCAAATAGTACAGAGGTGTATCTCATGGGGCGATCGTGGCTCAAGAGTTGGGAGTTCGCCTTGTAATCGGAAGGTTGCCGGTTCGAGCCCCGGCTTGGACAGTCTCGGTCGTTGTGTCCTTGGGCAAGACACTTCACCCGTTGCCGCCTGGTGGTGGTCAGAGGGCCCGGTGGTGCCAGTGTCCGGCAGCCTTGCCTCTGTCAGTGCGCCCCAGGGTGGCTGTGGTTACATTGTAGCTTGCCATCACCAGTGTGTGAATGTGTGTGTGAATGGGTGGATGACAGGTTGTGTAAAGCGCTTTGGGGTCCTTAGGGACTAGAAAAGCGCTATACAAATACAGGCCATTTACCATTTACTGTTGATGAATGCATCAGAGAGTGACTTGGGGTTAATGTCTTGCCCAAGGACAGTTAGCATGCACTCTGGAGCAGCCAGGGATCGACCCAAAAACCATCTGATTAGTAGATGACCTGCTCCACCTCCTGAGCCACAGCCACCCCTTTCAGAGGTAAAGAATGATTTAGAAAGTAAGTACAGTAATTTTTTGAGGTGATTTGATTTAAAAAAAATCATTTTTGCTTCTAATTACATAATTAAGGTGTAATTACATCTTCCAACAAATTGATACATAAACGTATCATTTATCTACTAAAAATACATAGGAGCTGGCGTCATGTTGTGGAAGCTGCCATCTTGCCCCACCATCATACACTGGCTGAGATGGGCATCGCTGCGCCGCCTTTTCATGTTTTATGTAAGTGGATTTATACATTACTTTGAATTTAAAGATGTCAAATAGCTCTTTCACACTACATATGACTATTTCACATTTGTACATGTATATTTTGGTGATCTCTTTCTCAGTATGTTTTTCTTCTTATGGAAATAAGCTAATTTTAAACCAGTTAATGTTAGGCTCCAGTGTCCTAAAAAATCACACCTTTCCCCTGATAAACAAATTGATTGGATTCTCTCATTGTGTGGGAATTGATTATCAATTACAACTTCAATGAGCCACTTCAAAGAAAGTTTCACCCGCGTGGGCAGCAACAGAAAGTCCAGATGTGGAAACAGAAGGTTTCCACATTAAAATATCGATATTTGAATCATTTTGGGGTAAATTGTAGTTTTTCATTAACAGGAACACAGTGGAAAGAAACTATCATTCAGATTGTCTACATTGGAAAGAACTACTCCCTCTTCCGCCTTTTATAGTCATGTGTGAAATACGGCTGTATAAATGTGTGGCAGCCTGTGGCGTGCGCACTCACAACAATGGCTGAGCGTAACTGGAGTCATGTGCGCACGTATTTTACATCCACAAACAGCCCAGACGTGGTTTGCGATACATGTGGCAAGAAAGTGAGGTGTTGTGGCAACACCACTAACCTTGTCAAACACCTCAAAGTAAATCATATCACAGAATATGACGAGCTTATGTTGAGGCAAACTGAAGAGGAGGAGAAGGACGGGTGCTGCTAGGGTGAGACAGACGTCTCTCAGGGAGTCCTTTAGTGCTGCAGGCAGGCAAGGTGTTCACATAGTGCACAACTTCAGGTTTTTGATTTCTATATGATGAATTCTGCATTATTAAGTGATAAGAACAAGTAATCTGATGTCCTATAATGATTATGACGCTATAATTTGAGATACAATAAAAGAGTAAAGTTTTTGTACAAAGTATCGGAGCAGTATCGTCGATACCACCCTGAATTTTACTTGGTATGGGATCGGAAAGGAAATCAGTGGTATCACACATCACTAGTGATCAAATGTCAGGCCAAGCTGGAACTGATTCCTGTCTTCTGTAACTTCTACAACACTGTCCAATAGAGACACATGAATGAACTGCAGCGTCATTAAAAACACTGATGATCTTTATTTAAAAATGTAATACATTTACATCTGAATAAACTTTTAGGCATTACGCTGACGGACGGATGGATGGACCATGAATGCTTTCTCATCCTTCTTGTCATGCACCATGGAAATGTCTGAGGGGCTTTTCCACTTGGAATGGGGATACTGTGTCCACACTTCAGAGGTGGAGTTTCCAGCATCTCACCTGGGCCTCATCTGCAAACAATCAGCAGGAGGGCTTCTTAAACCAGCGCTGCCTGCTACTCCTCGCCAGTTTGTTCTGCCATCTCCAGTGGTAACTAGGCTTCCCCCCTGCTCCAGTTCTGGCGTGCTCCTTCCCTGTGTTTAACCTTGTTTTCCCTGTGTTTAGGTCTCCTCTGCCAACGTACTCATCCTACCCTCAAACTCCCTTACCCGTCCAGCAACTTCTTCTCCCTCTGTTGCAGAATTCCCGTTGGATTGTTCCCATCAGGAGCCAGGTGTTCAGTCTCTCGATAGCTTTTCCTCTGGTTCCTGCTGTCTGCTGACACTCCTAGCTCGAGCCACGTTCTCCATTCCCTCTCTTTAAACAAAGTCTTATAAATAGTTTAATCATGTGCATTGAATCTGCATTTGGGTCTAAGCTTTCTATGCAGGGAAGAAATCATCACAGTGACATCTATTTAATTTTCAATTCAATTTTATTTAAAGAGCGCCAAATGACAGCAACAGTCACCTGAAGGCGCTTTATATTGTAAGATATACTTACAAAGAAAACCCAACAATCATATGACCCCCTATGAGCAAGCACTTTGGCGACAGTGGGAAGGAAAAACTCCCTTTTAACAGGAAGAAACCTCCAGCAGAACCAGGCTCAGGGAGGGGCGGCCATCTGCTGCGACCGGTTGGGGAGGGGCAAGGAAAATAGTATAAAGACATGGAACAGAGACAGAGGTTAATAACAAGTACCATTCAGTGCAGAGGTCTATTAAACATAGTGGGTGAAGAAGAAACACCCAGTGCATCATGGGAATCCCCCGGCAGCCTAATGCTGGGCATACACTGTGCGATTTTTGGCCCATTTTGAGCCGATTTTTCAGTCGTGCGATCGTTTTGGGGATCGTCCCGAGTTTGGCCTTGATCAAACTTCTCACCCCTGCGAGTCAATCCTACAGTTTGATCAGGAGCCGAATAACGCGACTGAAAAATCGCAGCACAGTGTATGCCCAGCTTATTGCAGCATAGAGGATTCAGGATCACCTGAGTAGGCCATCAGATTACTGAAAGGATACTGAAAAAACCCGTCGAAGTAGTCTTAGTCTTCATTGCTGCTGGTCGACTCAATTGAACACCTCTGAAGTTTGCACACAGGCAAGTATTCCTCTTCTTGCTCAAAATCCTCTCGGGAACGCTTCCTCGAGCCTCCAGTTTCGTGTTCAAGCTCTTCGTGCGCATCTTCAAATACTTCAGAGTCATCATCGCTCCATCTCATTCTTTTGTTTGCTCCTAAATCTTCTTCATCCCTCTCTCTAGACCTCTTCCTGGAAACACCTGGCTGAGGGTCCTCTTCTGGGATGTACTGGCGAACATCCATGCGGCCTTCAAATGCCTCCTCATTTTCAATGCCACCAACATTGAAAATGATCACAACCACAGCATCCCCGTGCTGTTCATCGTTGTCACCATTGGCATTATTGTCCCTCACATGAATATTTTGAACATCGTCGTCGTCGTCATCGTCATCGTCATCGTTGCCGTCGCCGCCGTCATTGTCGTCATCGTTGTCGTCATCGTCGTTGTCGTTGTCGTCGTCATCGTCGTTGTCGTCGTCGTCGTCGTCATCGTCGTCATCGTCTTCGTCCCCGTAAAGGTAATTGTCATATTGTGCCAGTACTGAAGCTATTAGCTCATCTAGATAGCAACAATATTCATGGAGAGCGCGATACAGACTGTTCAGGAAGCCATTAGCAGGTTCCTGATCTCCATTTGCCAACATTCGTGGGTTAACCTGTTGGCCTGCAAGATCATTAAATCTTTTAATTAACATCCATAACTATCTGCTGAAAATCTGTTTTTCATCAATTTCAAGACTGAGTACATGTGCTTACCGTTTTGGTTATTTTGTGGTCCGTCTCCACTTGCACTCATTTTGACTACAAGGAACACAAAACAACAATGATCACTAAACCTCAACCCAGAATGTTCAGAGAATTTGCTTTTTTTGTGATGACTTTAGGCTGCATCCAAACGTACACGGCTATGTTTGAAAACGGACGTTTTTCCTTTTTCGTTTAAAAAAAAAAAATCCAGTCCACATGTGCAGTTTTGAAAAAATATCTCCTTCCACATCTAAACACTAAAAACAAAGTGAAACGCTGTCAAGAACACGCCAAATCTTAACCGTGTAGAAATGTTGGCCAATCAGAAGTCTAGAAGCCTGGGTGGGAAAACCTCATAAAACCTTACGTACTTCTGAGAAGTTTTAGTCTTTTTCTGGAAAAGCAGCTAATTTTGTGTTACTTTCACGTGCCTTCATCGTTTCAAATGTTAATAACTAAAGACAGACTCACAACTTTGGAATGGACTAAATGCATACAGCATACATAAATGTCATTTTTTTAAATTACATTTCTTCCAAACCGACGTCAGGATTTGGGTTGGGAGAGCGTCTGTGTTGAATGTAGAATCCACGTCTGATGTAAGCGTGTAAAAACTGCAGATACTAAGATTAACAGACACAGTATGTTGTCTACATCTGCCATTGTAGAAATTGATCTCACGTAAACAATAACGTGGCCACAGCGTGACTTCAACAGCGGCGCACACTTTTGACATTGCCTGAGTAAATGTCCGTTTTCCTCGTCCACACCTGAACACAAAAACGTCCTTTCTAAAAATCTCACCTTTCAGTGACTCAATCTGCTGTTTAGGTGTGGACGAAAGGCCCAAATGCAGAGACAAAGCTGCGCTTTCAAAAATAGCCGTGTACATGTGCACGTAGGCTCAGTTTCTCAGAAATTCTAATAGTTTGTTTGAGAACAAAACTTACGTCTTCTCTATTTTCCTAAATGAACAAAATAATCTGAGAAATAATCGTGTTAAAAAGAGCTTCTGTCACTCTAAGATATGATTAAGAACATTTTCTAATTTATGTATCATTTGTCAAATATTACATCAGCTGACAAATAGTTAAGTCTTCATTTGTTTTCCTGAATAATAGATCCACATCATCCTCTCTATGATGGCAGGATGGTACGGCGCAGAGCGGATGTGTTTGACTCCATTAGCTTTCAGGAACACCCTGAATTCCTCAGAACAGAACTGCGGTCCGTTATCACTCAGCAGGACGTGGGGAATGCCATGGCGACTAAAGAGACCCCGTAGCACTTGTATGGTTTTACCAGCTGTGGTGCTATCCATAATATGCACTTCAGGCCACTTGGAATGTGCATCTACCACCACCAGGTACATGTGACTTTCAAATGGACCCGCAAAATCCACATGGATCCGTTCCCATGGACAGGAAGGCCACAGCCAAGGGTGTAAAGGCGCTAACCCAGGCTCTTTTTGCACACGCTGACAAGAGTGGCAGGCTTTAGCTTGAAGCTCAATTTGAGAATCAATGCCAGGCCACCAAACATAGCTGCGAGCTAAGCTCTTCATCCTCACCATCCCTGGATGTGCAGTGTGGAGCTCTTTCAGTACATGAGAGCGCAGCTTAGGTGGCACAACCACCCTCAAGCCCCACATGAGGCATCCCTGCTGTATTGTGAGTTCATGTCTGCGCATCAGATAGGGTGACAGCTCTTGATCTGTGTCCTTTGTTGCTGGAAAACGTCCAGTTATTACCATTTCCAGCACACGAGACAAAGTGACATCAGACAAAGTGTCACGTCTGATCTCGGCGACAATGACTGGTAATGTGTCCAGCTGAGATGCGTAGAATACCTCAACTGCTCCCTGTTTCTCTTTCTGTGCAAGGGGCAGAGGTAAACGTGACAGACCGTCAGCATTGGCGTGATGTGCCCCCTTCCGATACTGTAAGGTATAATTATGTGCTGACAGAAGGAGCGCCCAACGCTGCATTCGCGCAGCTGCCATTGATGGTGTACCTTTTACTGGACTCAGAATTGAGGTCAGTGGGCGATGATCAGTGAGCAAGGTGAACTTGTTACCATGGAGATACTGGTGAAACTTGCGCACTCCAAAAACAATTGCCAACGCCTCCCTCTCGATCTGAGCATAGTTTCGTTCTGCTTTGCTGAGGGTTCGTGAAGCATAAGCAATTGGCCGTTCTTGGCCATCAGGCATGACATGTGAGAGCACGGCTCCAACGCCATATGGTGAAGCGTCACATGCCAAATGGAGAGGCAGTTCAGGATTGTAGTGGGTGAGTATTTTTGGTGAGGCCAGACGTTCTTTAGCATTCTGGAAAGCTGACTCGCAGGCTGATGTCCACTGCCATTTCTTCTCTTTACTGAGTAGCTCATTCAGCGGCTTCAGGACTGTAGCTAAATCAGGTATGAAACGTCCATAATAGTTGAGCATTCCCAGAAAAGAACGTAACTGGCTGACATCAGCTGGTGCTGGAGCTTCCATAACGGCACGCACCTTTTCTGGTGATTTGTGTAACCCTGCCGCATCAATTATGTGGCCCAGGTATTCCACCGATTCTTGGAAAAACAGGCACTTCTCCTGTTTGAGACGCAGGCCATAGTCCTCCAGCCTGCCCAAAACTGCCTTAAGGGATCTCAGGTGTGTCTCTTTATCTGGACCACTGACGAGGATGTCATCCAGATAACAATGGGTGTATGGTAGGCCGAGAAGCACTTGATCCATAGCCTTCTGAAACAATGCAGGTGAAGACGCCACTCCAAAAGGCAAGCGATTGAAACGGAACAGCCCTTTTTGTGTCGAAATAGTCAGCAGCTTCTTAGACTCCTCTTCTACCTCCATCTGTAAGTAGGCATTTGCTAAGTCTAGCTTACTGAAATGCTGACCTCCTGCTAGAGAAGCAAACAGGTCCTCAATGCGTGGAAGTGGGTACTTATCCACACAGAGCTGCGAATTAAGAGTGACCTTGAAATCACCACAGAGTCTCACTGAGCCATCCTTCTTGTTGACAGGGACCACGGGCGTAGCCCAATCACTATGCTCCACTGGTGTGATCACCCCAAGCTCAGTCAGGCGTTTCAGTTCTGCCTCCACCCGAGGGCGGAGAGCATAAGGCACGTTACGTGGTGGACAGAATTTGGGGACACTATCAGGCCTAAGAGTCAATCTGGCTTTAATTCCTTTCATTGTGCCCAGCTCCTTAGAGAAAACGGCAGAGTGTTTCTTTAGCACAGCCTTCAGATTGTCATTTCCGCTTTGCTCTCTGGCATGGACCATCTTTAAGTCTTTCCAGTTCAGCTTAATCACTCTCAGCCACTCCCTACCAAACAGTGGTGGAGCATCCACCTTTACCACATACAAGGGTAGAGTTGCACGCTGCTTATTCAGTTCAACTTGCACCTTGATGACCCCTTCTGGTGCCAGCGGCTCCCCAGTGTACGTTTTCAGCATGATGTCAGTGGGTTGCAGCGGCAACTGACTCAGCATACTTTTATATTGTTCCCATGGAATCAAAGACACAGCAGCCCCTGTATCCAGCTCCATCTCCATTTTCTTCCCGTTAACTACAGGCATTAGGGAGATACGTGAATATTTCTCTTTTCGTGACAAAGAATACAGCTCCAACTCACTATCAGTGTCGGGTCTGGTTCCTTCACTTTCACTCTCCTCAGCGGCAACATGATGAATTCTCCTCTTTTTGTCCTTTGCTCTGTTTTTAACTGCATTGCCTTTCAGCTCATGTTTCCCCTCTTTCTCTTTCCTGTTCCAATCTTGGCTGCTTCTGGCTCTACCTTTGCACATGCGTTTCGTGTGGCCCTTCCTTCCACACTGGTGACAGTCACGGTCTTTGTACCAGCAGTCATCATCAGTATGATTCATTTTCCCGCAGCGGCGGCATTTTTCACCTCTTTGTGACAGCACTGCATTCACTTTAAGGGAACCACTCAACTGCTGCACTTCACGTGTTGCTGTCTCTGCCGACACAGCATAATCAACTGCTTTGCGAAACGTGAGATCCTTCTCAGTCAAAAGACGCTTCTGCACAGTTTCACACTTTAATCCACACACAAATCTGCCTCGTAGAGCATCTTCCAGATACGCACCAAACTCGCAATGTTCTGACAGTCTTTTCAGCACCGCCACATACTGTGCGACCGTTTCTTCTTCCCCCTGATTCCTCTTGTGGAACCGGAACCTTTCAGCTATTACCAGCGGTTTGGGAGCAAAATGAGCTTGCAAAACACCCACAATATTGTCATACTGCATTGTCCCAGGCTTGCTTGGCGCCACTAGATTACGCAGCAGACTGTACGTCTTGGGACCCATCACACTCAGCAGCACCGGGACCCGTTTCTCAGGCTGAATGTCATTAGCAAGGGTGTAATGCTCAAAACGTTCAATATACGTCGCCCATTGCTCACCAGCATCATCAAAAGGGTCCATCTGTCCAATCATTCCAGCCATGATGTATCCGCTGTCCACAGCCAACACTGTCGTTTTTGACTCGTCGGCGAAAAGCAGCTAGCAGCTAGCTCCGATGCTAATTCACCACGCGATCGTCCGTTTTCCGTCCGAACTCGGCCACGCAGTCAGTTCATGCTCAGTAGACAGCCAAGTCTTCCAGACGTCACAACTCGTCGCCAATTTATGTTATATTTCCACTGTAGTGTCAATACACTATTAAGGATTATGCCGAGTCAGACTGCACATACAACAGTTTGTTTACAAGTTGACTTCTTCTTTATTGGGCTCACACAGAAGTAACATACATACATAACTGGGCGTGGTGCCCCCTACTGGCGATGGCTTGCATAGCACACAATAATTCTTGGTTCATACATAACAGCTACATTGTAGCTTGCCATCACCAGTGTGTGAATGTGTGTGTGAATGGGTGGATGACAGGTTGTGTAAAGCGCTTTGGGGTCCTTAGGGACTAGAAAAGCGCTATACAAATACAGGCCATTTACCATTTACTGTTGCACGTCATCTGTGTCCTCATGTTTAGCCTGCCGCGGCCGTTGGTTGGAGGAGCCGCAATAGTTTGGAAAGGAAGGAAGCAGTAAGGTCAGTTTCCATTCTGGGTTTTCAGCATTAATAAAGAAACCTGCAACAAGGTGAGTAATGTTTGAGGTCCAAAAGAAATCAACACAGAGAAATTTTTACAGTGCTTTTCTACTCTACCTGAACATTCAAAGCGCTCTATACAGGTTGCCTCATTCACACCTGTTAATAGAAGCCCTTTTTCTGTGCTTTCTACCTAACATTCACACACATTCATACTCTGATGAATGCATCAGAGAGTGACTTGGGGTTAATGTCTTGCCCAAGGACAGTTAGCATGCAGTCTGGAGCAGCCAGGGATCGATCCAAAAACCATCTGATTAGTAGATGACCTGCTCCACCTCCTGAGCCACAGCCACCCCTTTCAGAGGTAAAGAATGATTTAGAAAGTAAGTACAGTAATTTTTTGAGGTGATTTGATAAAAAAAAAATCATTTTTGCTTCTAATTACATAATTAAGGTGTAATTACATCTTCCAACAAATTGATACATAAACGTATCATTTATCTACTAAAAATACATAGGAGCTGGCGTCATGTTGTGGAAGCTGCCATCTTGCCCCACCATCATACACTGGCTGAGATGGGCATCGCTGCGCCGCCTTTTCATGTTTTATGTAAGTGGATTTATACATTACTTTGAATTTAAAGATGTCAAATAGCTCTTTCACACTACATATGACTATTTCACATTTGTACATGTATATTTTGGTGATCTCTTTCTCAGTATGTTTTTCTTCTTATGGAAATAAGCTAATTTTAAACCAGTTAATGTTAGGCTCCAGTGTCCTAAGAAATCACACCTTTCCCCTGATAAACAAATTGATTGGATTCTCACATTGTGTGGGAATTGATTATCAATTACAACTTCAATGAGCCACTTCAAAGAAAGTTTCACCCGCGTGGGCAGCAACAGAAAGTCCAGATGTGGAAACAGAAGGTTTCCACATTAAAATATCGATATTTGAATCATTTTGGGGTAAATTGTAGTTTTTCATTAACAGGAACACAGTGGAAAGAAACTATCATTCAGATTGTCTACATTGGAAAGAACTACTCCCTCTTCCGCCTTTTATAGTCATGTGTGAAATACGGCTGTATAAATGTGTGGCAGCCTGTGGCGTGCGCACTCACAACAATGGCTGAGCGTAACTGGAGTCATGTGCGCACGTATTTTACATCCACAAACAGCCCTGACGTGGTTTGCTATACATGTGGCAAGAAAGTGAGGTGTTGTGGCAACACCACTAACCTTGTCAAACACCTCAAAGTAAATCATATCACAGAATATGACGAGCTTATGTTGAGGCAAACTGAAGAGGAGGAGAAGGACGGGTGCTGCTAGGGTGAGACAGACGTCTCTCAGGGAGTCCTTTAGTGCTGCAGGCAGGCAAGGTGTTCACATAGTGCACAACTTCAGGTTTTTGATTTCTATATGATGAATTCTGCATTATTAAGTGATAAGAACAAGTAATCTGATGTCCTGTAATGATTATGACGCTATAATTTGAGATACAATAAAAGAGTAAAGTTTTTGTACAAAGTATCGGAGCAGTATCATCGATACCACCCTGAATTTTACTTGGTATCGGATCGGAAAGGAAATCAGTGGTATCACACATCACTAGTGATCAAATGTCAGGCCAAGCTGGAACTGATTCCTGTCTTCTGTAACTTCTACAACACTGTCCAATAGAGACACATGAGTGAAATGCAGCGTCATTAAAAACACTGATGATCTTTATTTAAAAATGTAATACATTTACATCTGAATAAACTTTTAGGCATTACGCTGACGGAGGGATGGATGGACCATGAATGCTTTCTCATCCTTCTTGTCATGCACCATGGAAGTGTCTGAGGGGCTTTTCCACTTGGAATGGGGATACTGTGTCCACACTTCAGAGGTGGAGTTTCCAGCATCTCACCTGGGCCTCATCTGCAAACAATCAGCAGGAGGGCTTCTTAAACCAGCGCTGCCTGCTACTCCTTGCCAGTTTGTTCTGCCATCTCCAGTGGTAACTAGGCTTCCCCTCTGCTCCAGTTCTGGCGTGCTCCTTCCCTGTGTTTAACCTTGTTTTCCCTGTGTTTAGGTCTCCTCTGCCAACGTACTCATCCTACCCTCAAACTCCCTTACCCGTCCAGCAACTTCTTCTCCCTCTGTTGCAGAATTCCCGTTGGATTGTTCCCATCAGGAGCCAGGTGTTCAGTCTCTCGATAGCTTTTCCTCTGGTTCCTGCTGTCTGCTGACACTCCTAGCTCGAGCCACGTTCTCCATTCCCTCTCTTTAAACAAAGTCTTATAAATAGTTTAACCATGTGCATTGAATCTGCATTTGGGTCTAAGCTTTCTATGCAGGGAAGAAATCATCACAGTGACATCTATTTAATTTTCAATTCAATTTTATTTAAAGAGCGCCAAATGACAGCAACAGTCACCTGAAGGCGCTTTATATTGTAAGATATACTTACAAAGAAAACCCCAACAATCATATGACCCCCTATGAGCAAGCACTTTGGCGACAGTGGGAAGGAAAAACTCCCTTTTAACAGGAAGAAACCTCCAGCAGAACCAGGCTCAGGGAGGGGCGGCCATCTGCTGCGACCGGTTGGGGAGGGGCAAGGAAAATAGTATAAAGACATGGAACAGAGACAGAGGTTAATAACAAGTACCATTCAGTGCAGAGGTCTATTAAACATAGTGGGTGAAGAAGAAACACCCAGTGCATCATGGGAATCCCCCGGCAGCCTAATGCTGGGCATACACTGTGCGATTTTTGGCCCATTTTGAGCCGATTTTTCAGTCGTGCGATCGTTTTGGGGATCGTCCCGAGTTTGGCCTTGATCAAACTTCTCACCCCTGCGAGTCAATCCTACAGTTTGATCAGGAGCCGAATAACGCGACTGAAAAATCGCAGCACAGTGTATGCCCAGCTTATTGCAGCATAGAGGATTCAGGATCACCTGAGTAGGCCATCAGATTACTGAAAGGATACTGAAAAAACCCGTCGAAGTAGTCTTAGTCTTCATTGCTGCTGGTCGACTCAATTGAACACCTCTGAAGTTTGCACACGGGCAAGTATTCCTCTTCTTGCTCAAAATCCTCTCGGGAACGCTTCCTCGAGCCTCCAGTTTCGTGTTCAAGCTCTTCGTGCGCATCTTCAAATACTTCAGAGTCATTATCGCTCCATCTCATTCTTTTGTTTGCTCCTAAATCTTCTTCATCCCTCTCTCTAGACCTCTTCCTGGAAACACCTGGCTGAGGGTCCTCTTCTGGGATGTACTGGCGAACATCCATGCGGCCTTCAAATGCCTCCTCATTTTCAATGCCACCAACATTGAAAATGATCACAACCACAGCATCCCCGTGCTGTTCATCGTTGTCACCATTGGCATTATTGTCCCTCACATGAATATTTTGAACATCGTCGTCGTCGTCGTCGTCGTCGTCATCGTCATCGTTGCCGTCGCCGTCGCCGCCGTCATTGTCGTCATCGTTGTCGTCATCGTCGTTGTCGTTGTCGTCATCGTCGTTGTCGTCGTCGTCGTCGTCGTCATCGTCATCGTCGTCGTCATCGTCGTCGTCGTCGTCATCGTCTTCGTCCCCGTAAAGGTAATTGTCATATTGTGCCAGTACTGAAGCTATTAGCTCATCTAGATAGCAACAATAATCATGGAGAGCGCGATACAGACGGTTCAGGAAGCCATTAGCAGGTTCCTGATCTCCATTTGCCAACATTCGTGGGTTAACCTGTTGGCCTGCAAGATCATTAAATCTTTTAATTAACATCCATAACTATCTGCTGAAAATCTGTTTTTCATCAATTTCAAGACTGAGTACATGTGCTTACCGTTTTGGTTATTTTGTGGTCCGTCTCCACTTGCACTCATTTTGACTACAAGGAACACAAAACAACAATGATCACTAAACCTCAACCCAGAATGTTCAGAGAATTTGCTTTTTTTGTGATGACTTTAGGCTGCGTCCAAACGTACACGGCTATGTTTGAAAACGGACGATTTTCCTTTTTCGTTTAAAAAAAATAAAAATCCAGTCCACATGTGCAGTTTTGAAAAAATATCTCCTTCCACATCTAAACACTAAAAACAAAGTGAAACGCTGTCAAGAACACGCCAAATCTTAACCGTGTAGAAATGTTGGCCAATCAGAAGTCTAGAAGCCTGGGTGGGAAAACCTCATAAAACCTTACGTACTTCTGAGAAGTTTTTGTCTTTTTCTGGAAAAGCAGCTAATTTTGTGTTACTTTCACGTGCCTTCATCGTTTCAAATGTTAATAACTAAAGACAGACTCACAACTTTGGAATGGACTAAATGCATACAGCATACATAAATGTCATTTTTTTAAATTACATTTCTTCCAAACCGACGTCAGGATTTGGGTTGGGAGAGCGTCTGTGTTGAATGTAGAATCCACGTCTGATGTAAGCGTGTAAAAACTGCAGATACTAAGATTAACAGACACAGTATGTTGTCTACATCTGCCATTGTAGAAATTGATCTCATGTAAACAATAACGTGGCCACAGCGTGACTTCAACAGCGGCGCACACTTTTGACATTGCCTGAGTAAATGTCCGTTTTCCTCGTCCACACCTAAACACAAAAACGTGCTTT